AAATGAGATACTCTATTTTTGCTTCTTCACACTTTGTTTTTTGTTTCTCTCTCTAAATTTCAATTTTCTTCTTTTTTTGCCCGTGAAATGATATTTTTACAAATTGTTTCTCTAATCCAAAGAAATGTCCTGGCTTAAAATTTTTTTTATAATCCATCATTGTGTTTGCAAGTATAATTGATTTGTAATCTTAGAATTTGGTGAAATGCTATATGATTATGCAAAGCAACTAAAAGAAAATAAGTCAAAAATAATGTTTGACACTTGAACAATGGTGTTTTCAATTCACTCTGCGGTCATCTTGCTTGCAAGTTGACTTGATAATCTGAAAAACATTTTTTTCCTTGTTTTTGGTACAGCGGGGATAATCATGCTAAGGGCTTAGTCTACTCTGACACCCATTTAGCAACAAAAAGGTTTCATTATCTTATATATACTCACACAATAATGTCCTCATTGTGGTAGGAGCTATACCAGCAGAGATTGGTAACCTTGCCAATCTGAAGATATTGAGAATCCGTGATAATGATTTAACTAGCTGTATCCCACCTGCACTCTTCAATATCTCAACAATGCAAGCTATTGTAATGTCTATAAACCACCTTACATGCAATCTTCCCTCAACCATGGGCCTTTTCCTGCCATATCTTGTGGAGCTGCGCCTATCAATTAATGAACTTGAGGGAACAAACCCCAACTCTATTTCTAATGCATCCATGCTCACTTTCATTGACTTATCTAATAACTCATTTACTGGATCTATTCTTGGAACACTTGGTAATCTAAGGCATATTCAAGTGCTTAATCTAGCTAATAATAATTTGACCAGCGAGTCTTCTACTCTAGGATCAAGCTTCCTATCTTAATTGACAAATTGCAAGCATCTGAGAAAAGTAGATTTGTCAGGTATTTCACTCAGTGCCACCCTTCTAATTTATGTAGGAAATCTTTTTTCTTCAGCAGTTTGGAGCCAACAATTACAATCTTAAGGGCAACATTCCTAGAGAAATTGGTAACTTGACCAGCTTGATAGCTTTAAACTTGTCAAACAATTAATTGAGTGGTACAATTCCAACGACTATTGCAAATTTGAGAAAGCTTCAAAGTTTGCATCGCCTAGGCATAAATTAGGGGGAAAGGTTACATATGATCTCTTTTACCTGAAAAGCTTCTTTTTTTTTTTATCCTTAGGCGGTAATGAGGTTTTGGGATCTATCCCTACATGCTTAGGAAATCTGACAAACTTAAACTCCCATAACTTAACATCCTTAATATCCCTGTCGCTATGGAGTCGTAATGATATCTTGGTCATCAACATGTCCTCAAATTCTCTCAGTGGTAATCTCCCATTAGAGTTTCAACAATTGCTAGCAGTTGAAATACTTGATTTGTTTGGAATAGGTTATCTGATGAAATTCCAAAGTGTTGTTTCTAATGGATAGGAAAGCAAGGAATGTAGGGTTTCCAAATCTCTAAAGGGATGGCGCCAGAAAAACACGTGAGAAAGATTCAAGCCACTAACTCTGTCACGCTAAGCACCACAAATGAAACCTGTCATATCCATTTTTGGGAGTACCATCTGACATCAGGTAGTGATAACACCAATCCAGCAGCAGACTGAGGTAGTGGTGGACTAGTTGTTTGCCAAGATGTTATGATAGTCATTAACAATTTTATCTTTCAGAGCTAGAAGAGAAGTTGGAGCGGTGGAATTACTAGTGAGTGCCATTCCTATGCAAGCCATGAAACTAGCAGTAGAGAGACTGAAATGAACTCGAGAAAGCAAGTTCCCTTCATGGATGTCAGCTATCAATTGAGATAGAGATGGATGCACGGGGAGGGAAAACAAACTGTGAAAGGTAAAATCACAGGCCTTGTAAATAATGATATGCTATAACAAGATTAAGGAGGAAGAGACAGCAAGGAGCACACAAATGATTATCATTTTTAAGGGTTTGAATATATTTGCTGTGACATCATTCCCAGAGAGTTAAGAAACAACAATCACCATTCTTTAGTCCGACAAGAAAAATGAAAAGAAGTTGAGCATAAGGACAGAAGGATATGCAAGAAAGGGGAGAAAGAAAATGCACTGAATTTGGAATGGAACCCTTGTGATTTTTAGAGCTGTTTTCAACTTTTAAGCAATTACGCTGTTAACAAATTCAGGGTAGAGAGAAAAGGAAAAAAGTCATGGACAAAATGTCTAGACCAATTGCAGAGGCATCTTAAGTTACAGCTCTGAAACAGGTTTATATGGTGTGTGGATGTTGAATGTATAATATTCACTGCTAGATATGCGATTAGACTATCTTTATACTCATTTTAAGAGCTAGAGACCAAGTATAATCAAGGTGAGATCAATAATCTTCTCAATAATTTTGTTTGAAATGTAACAAAAACATGTAAGATTTTATCTCTTCATTAAAAGATCAATGATCTTAGACCGTACGATAAAAAAGATATCATATATCTAATAAATTCTCTTGTAAAACAAAATTTGAATCTTGATGATTAGAGTTTTTTACATTATAATTTAGTGGAGATAATTAATTCCATCTTATAATTCAAGATACGTCAGCATTCAAACTAATAAAATTAAAAAGCATATCATGAAAGGGTTTACTCCATATTTGGTGTTAGTATTTTTGAGTTTTTTTATTAAGATCCTTTAAAAAAAATTGCTTAAAACCTTTTATTTTTTTAGATTTGTTGATTCGAATCCTTTATCATAACATCATCAACTATTCGTTTAATATTACATGTTAATCAATGACAATCAATCACTAAACGACACATGGCAAAATAGATATTAAAATACAGTACTTCTATCTAAATTAAAAAAAAAATTGATTTTAATAAAAATTAATACAAAAAAATCAAAAACCCAATTTGAAAAGAGTAAAATCACATCATCATCAACAGCAACAGATCCAAACAATGATTTGGCTTCTCTCACGCTCGTTGTCGATTTTGGCCACGACAAAAGAGGAAGTTGGATATCGACTCAGCACATGCTGACAAATTGTTCTCCAACTATTTGGTGGTCTACTATGCTTTATAACGAACGATAAAAATAGGTCTTCAAAAAGGGGTCAGAATTGATTTCTTGTTCGATTCGATAGATTCCGACGAAATTTTGTCAGGATTTAAGAGAAATTGGCTCTTTAGAGGATGAGAAAAGTTTTCTAAGTGGTTGTAGCCATTGTTGTGGCTGGAAATAAAAGATCCTATCAGGCTTGTCTTCGGATCGCGTTTTGTGGAGGAATTTGGTGGTTTTTAGTCATTTTCTTCCACTATTTCGAACAAAAGAGGATTTCTGGGTTGGTGGTGCTTCAGTCCGTGCATGGTTTTGGGGTTGGGTGTTGGTCAGAAGGTAGTTTTTTTAAGTGTTGGCTGAAGGATGGCATTTTTTAGGTTTGTTGATGATGATGATGATAATGATGACGGGGGTTTTAGTCTTTTCACATTTGTTTTTTTACTTTTTGTATTAATTTATTATTAAAATTAGTTTTTTAATTTTTTAATTCCAACAGAAATAGTGTATTTTGGAACCTATTTTTTTATGTGCCATTCAATGATTAGTTGGCGTTAATAATAATGTATCATATCAGATGAATAGTTGATGAGGTCATGACAAAGGATCTGAATTAACAATTTTTTTTTTTAAAAAATTTCGATGAAGTTAAAAAAATAGAAAATCTCTGTAAAAAAATTTAAAAAATATAGAGACCAACATTGGTAAATCCTATTACAAAAAGAACTCAAATTCTAGGATTTTTATAGTCTTCGTTCTCAATCAATTTTATTGTGAAAGTGAAACTACGTTGCAAATGTAGCCGATCGGTAATGTTGCTCAAGCTTTTCCAAGCAAGTGATCAATCCTTTAAAAGAAAAGTAGAAATTTCCACTCACCGGCTTCTTGGTAGTTCCAATGAAAGCGGGGACAATGAAAAAATTGCAAATAAATGCTGTGTGATCGACTAGAAAACAAAGTGTCGGTCTTCCACTTTCGTCCTCATCTTCCCTGTATTGAACTTCGATCCAAGGAGAAAAAAGCACGGTAATTACGTGTTTTAATTTCACATAAATTAAAAAATATATTAAATATTGGGTTAATTCATTTTTTTTTTAATCTGCTACAATGTCTTTTAAAATAAAATATAGTTGGAAAAAAATATGTAAATTCAAATTTTTTTTTTCAAAAAGGACCTAGTAATAAAATTTAATTAGCATTCCATTCTTTGATTTTTATTTTTTTTATATATAACAAACACATAGTTTTAGGATATATAAATAAGAAAAGAAAGATTCTTTGTATGAGATAGGGAGAGTATTAGTTAGATGTTACTTTCCAGGAAGGACATAAAAACTAATTTTACCTCCCTTTTTGGATTTATTGGAAAGTCCCAAAAAAAAAAAAATGCAATGAGAGTAAATTTTCCTCATTTATTATTATAATAAAAAAATTATTGTCATCAAAATTCGAATTTTAATTTACTAAAAAAAGCAATCACATACACAACCACTACCGTTGATTCTATTCATCTAATTTTATCTCTTTAATCTACTCCAAAGCAGCGAATCTATACTAGGATATGAATTCTTTTTGTTTCCAAAAAAAAAAAAAAACTTAATTAATTAAGCGAGAGAATTGGAATTCATATTTTGACCCCAATCAATGTTAATGTAGAGAACAATTTTCTGAGAATATTTGTCATAAAAAAATAAAGCTTGTTAGTGATAGGCAAGTTAGCGACATCCGGTCATTATCATCACTGATGATTATTTTAAGGAATTAGCTGGTGAGCGATTAAGCTCTCCAAAATTTCTTTGAAAAAAAGAAAGAAAGAAAAAAAAGAGTAGGGATTGAAGGAGGAATAGGCATAGCATATCGCTGAAGCTGCAGTTTCCTTTGTTATGCAAAGCCTGGCTGATTTGCTTGACGAACTTGAATTTCACAACGATGTACGCAGAGAAGACAAGATGAACTTAGGAGGATGCGTTGCTTCTTAAGAGATGCTGATGCAAAGCAAGATGAGGACGAGAAAATGCGTAATTAGGTTTCTGATATCAGAAAATTTGCTTCTATGATGCTGAAAATCTCATTGACGCGTTTATCCTGAAGATTAGTCCTCTGAAGAAGAAGCACATTATCAAAAAATGCACTTCCCTTGTTAAGGAGTGGAAGCAAAGGTCCAAGATTGCCGAGGGTCTTGCACTCTTGATGCCATCCGCTCAAGACTCCAAGATATCTCTGACACCCGTGATCCTTATGGTATCCAAAACGTTGGAGAGGGGACTAATCCTGCAAGTGAGACACTAAGGAAGATGAGAAGATCCTCTCCTCACGGTGAGGAAAGGGATATTATTGATTTGGAGAACGATAAGACTAAAATGGTGGACCAACTTATTCAATTGGGGGGCTGTTGGAGTGCAGTTTCGATAGTTGGAATGGGCGGTATTGGTAAAACCACACTTGTATAATGATGTATAATCATAGTGCTATCAGAGCTTGCTATCCTAGCCGTGATTGGGTCTATGTATCACAGGAGTTTAGTGCTAGAGGTGTTCTGCAGCGAATCATAAAACAAATTGTATCTCCAAGAGAAAAGCTGGAACTTGGTGTGTGAAAATTCATGGAGGAAACGGTATCTGGTGGTTTTGGATGATATCTGGAGCACCAAGGCCTGGGATTTCCTCAGAAAGGCCTTTCCTGCAGATAGAACTAATGACAGCAGACTGTTGCTCACAACTCGGAACAAGAATGCTGCTCTCCATCTAGATCGTTAAACTACTCCCTATGATTTGGAATTCCCAAGTAAACAGAGTAGTTGGGAGTTGTTCTGCAAGAAAGCATTTATTGATGGCAGTGGCACAATTTGCTCTCCATTATAGGAGGAAGTTGGGAGGGAGATTGTGGAGAGATGTGCTGGTTTACCACTAGCCATTATTGTGACTGGAGGCTTGTTTTCAGGAAAAAGGGAGGCCCAGTGAATGAGAAAGAATTCTTAACAACATGGATTCGCATTTTGCTCGAGACCCAAATAGCGTTTCAGCAATACTTGCTTTGAGCTACAATGACTTGTCATTTACTTGAAATCTTGCTTCCTTTACTTAGGTCATTCCCCAGAAGATTATTCTATTCATGCCCATAAATTATTTCAGCTATGGGTTGCATAGGGTCTGATTCCACATCAAGGAGCAAGAATGGAAGACGTCACCGAAGATTACTTGAACTAGCTGATAGAGCGAAACATGGTTCAAGCAGAAAGAATGTGTCAATGGTCGGGTCAAGCACTGCCGTTTGCATGATCTGCTACGAGACTTCTCCACCTTAAAGGCAAGGACAGAGTTTTCTTCAGATTCCGGGTAAGGAAAATCCCAGAGTTGGAGGGCATATCATGTGGCAGAATTCAACGCTTGAGAATCCTAGAATTGGATGGTATATCATGTGGCAGAATTCCAAGCACCATTGGTGAACTGATACATTTGAATTACTTGGGATCGAAGGAGACTAACATACAAGTGCTTCCATCAACATTAGGTTCTCTGTGTAACCTGCAAACTCTTGACATTGCCAGAAAATCTTCACCTTAGGATAGTTCCTAATGTCATTTGGAACATGAGAAATTAGCAGCACCTTTACATGTGCGGCAATCTGGCGGGTTCCTGAGAATCGACACCCTTAAACATTTGCAGACTATGTCAAAGATTGATGTAAGCAGATGGGAGCAGAACAACTCTGCACATCTAACTAGTCTTCGAGAATCGGGAATAAGAGGAAACTTGAGCTCAGACACAATTGCAATATTTGATTCAATTTCAGCCCTCTTGCAACTTGGATCCCTCTGAATTTCCACCACTTACTTGGCTCTCTTTACTCCTTGTCAAGTTGCATTTGAAAGGAAGGATAACATAGTTGCCGAGTCTGCTAGAGTTTCCACCGAATCTCTCCCAGTTACTGTTGGAACACACCCATCTTTAACAAGCATCAATAAAGGTACTAGAAGCTGCCAAAGTTATCAATTCTTAGATTAAAAGTACTTTCCTACAGTAAAGAAGAACTGACAATCTCAGCCGATGGGTTTCCTCAGTTGGAGTTCCTAGACTTGAACAGCGTGAAATCCCTAGCTAAATTGAATGTAGAAGCAAGTGCAGTGCCAAGGCTTCAAAGTTTTAAAATTGTCAATCGCAAGAGGCTAAGAATGCTCCCTGAAGAGATGAAATTTGTGACTAGTCTCCGTAAATTGGGTATTCAAGAGATGCCAAGAGTCTTTGTAGATAGGCTTCAAGGCGAAGATCTTCAGAAAGTCCAGCACCTTCCTTTGATTAGATATATATGATTGGGTGTAGCAGTGTCTGTGATATTCATGTCTCAGCTGCCCTGTCAGCCATATCATATCTTTGCTGTACAGTAGTTGACAATAAAAATTCATGGATTCTCACTAACGTGCTTGCACTTTAAGATCAGGCCTGTACTAAAGGCACGGTGCCAGCCGTTTTCCATACAGCAGGCAATTCAATTTCTTATTGGAATATGGCTCACAAACCAGAAATACAAAGGGCGTAAAGTATAATCCATTTCATGGCTCAACTAAATCTGTCTCTCTTGTGATGGGATTGCTTCACCACTCTCTTTATTGTGAATCACAATACACAAAGTTATATAAATGCACATCACTACCATTTAAATAAATCACCAAAAAGCTACTACAATTTTACTTTAACTTGAATATATTTTTTCATCATATCAGGAAGTAGCAACATACAATTGTCAAAAGCAAAAAATTCAAAACTGAGATCAACCACATATGAAAAATAAATAAATAAGATTACAAACATTTACTAATCAAACTTGCACCACCCATAACATGGTAGCCACAGAACCAATAAAAGCCATCACAATAGAATCCCTTCCACCATAGGCAAACCCTGCTGAGGTTGGAATAACAGAAGCAGGATTGTTGCTTTTAGAAGAAGGTTGTGAGAGAGTACCCCCTGGCTGTGCTCGTGGTGAACCGATAGGTGAATTTGCTTTATTGCCTTCTACGTTTACCTGAAGCTTCATTCCTCCCAGACAGTATAACTTGTTACCACAAACAAAGTACCTTGTCCCAGGTTCTGTCAATGGCACAGTTGTATTCCCATTTGTAAATGTTCTTATAACATTAGTCGTGTTGCAGCTGTCGAAATCTTCTTTCTTCACCTCATCAACGCTTTGGGATGATGAGTATTGAAATACTAAAAAGATTGACAGTAAAAACATTAGTCCTGTAGCCATTCAAAATTACTATTTTTTTCCAAGAGATTGAAACATTAAATTATGACCATAATGTAAAAGTACTTACTTAGAAGATCCCCTACGACAAATTTCTTGTCCTGTGCCCATGTATCAAGGTCAGTACTTACGTCCCAGCCGGAACTATCACCCACCATGTAAGTTGCTGCATTGCATGTTAATGCTAGGCCAAGAACAACAAGAGAATAGACCAAAACCATCTTAGCCATTGGCATGTGAATAATCATGGCAAACATGAGAAGAAGATGATTAGGCACAGCTTGTATATATACGTGAAGGTTGATTAAGATTAGATGACCTAACTTCAAAATTGCGTGACTTGTGTTTTTTTTTTTTATTGAGTTGATTTTATACAGCATAGTTTATTTGAAAAATTGAGTGAAGGAATAAATTTATCTATCCACCGTTAAAGCAATATTGTCTTTTCCATATATATATATATATATATATATATATATATATATATATATATATATATATATATATATTCCAAGAAATTTAAAGGATTCAAGACTAAAAAATAAAAAAATAAAATGTTAAAGATATTCTTATTTCTCATTGTAGAACATCAACTCATCTTCAGAGGAGCATTTTCCTCCACCGACTCCGTATTAAAGCATCGATCTATTTGAATGTTGGGATTGAAGTGCTCAAGCTTTTTTTAATATTAAAATTGTGGTCCCATCTCCGCCTATCAAGAATAGGGTAATTCCTTGGATGATCCTCCAATTTTTTTATTTTGGTCATTTCAATCCCTTCACTAAACTGTTGGACACACTAACCCTTATATTTTCAGTTCATGGTTGTTTCAGTCCCTTCATACAAATTATGATCATTTTATGGCTGCCATGCGTTGCCACATATACACTCATAAGTGAAAACAAGGACCTGCAAAACCACAAACGGACAGCATAAGGGTTTGTTGGGCTGAAAATTTTAGTGGAGGGGTGAAAGTCACTTAAATCTAAGAATTGAGGAACTACATATGTAATTTACCTTCCATAACATCCTCTATTTAACATTTTGTCACTTGTTGGATAGATTGGTCTAAGATACGATCAGTAGTTTATGGGTTGATGTGGGTGGTCGAACCATCATCCTTTACGGAATCGCAAGTTCTATTCATTTTCTTATCAGTTGGTGAGGTGGGCAAGAAGAGAAGGTTTGCCAGTTACGAGGAAGTTGAACCCCTTCCAACTCCAAATTCCTCCTTTTTTGACTTCAGCAATCTATCGCGTCCGCTAGCAAATCAAAACACATTGAAATGATTGTAAAGAGGGTTATTAACACATCTATTGCTTAAAAGACGCATGATAAATGAAAAAAGTAAAAGTAAAAAAGAGGCAACTGATTTGACCAGTAAAAAGAGGCTGTCAATTTCAAAAACATTCAAATCTCAAGTCTGTACTACAGAAACAATCTCTGAATGTGCAATAAAACTATAACAAAGCTTGTATGTTCGACAAGTGTGAATTGGTAACAGCTAAATGCAGACCAAATCCCACCGGTAAGCCAAGTGAATTCGAAGCACAATGCACTTGGTCAATTCTGGACATCAAGCACACACGCATGCTGATAGAATTTTCCGGTGTCCAGCGATCCTACATGAATTGTTCACCGAATGCAATTAATACTTTCAGTATTATAGTCTTTTTCATTGATCATGATGTAGGCAAAAAATGAATGGTGTCTTTCAAAATTTATTGGCTCAAAACAAATTTTTCCTTGGTATCTGAACAAATAATAATATAATTTTATGGTTATACTTGATTTCTGGTATTTTCACGGTGTAGCCTTAAAGCAAGGGCTTGACATATAGCAAGAAAGATAAATCTGTTTAACTAGGAGGTGGAGAAAAAAAATTATTTACTTATTTATACATGTATACCTCACTCTCCTTTTATTTTCCACTCACTTGCTCACCTCACTTGCACGGACACACATTTATTCGCTCACAATACTTGGACACATTCAGTGGCGGATCCAGAAACTTTTCAAAGAAAGGTCCACATAGTATATTATAATAAGTCATCGACATGCTTTCATATTTTGAAAATAACACATAAATATATAATTACTAATATTATTAGATACATCTTTTTCAATATATTAGTATTACAATTGTCCTCAAAGAGTTTTCATATCTTGAAAATAACACACAATAGTATCATTACTAACATTATCATATACATCTTTTTCAATATATGTTACTAAACAATCATTTAACCATTGGTCACTAATTTTATTCTGCAAATCACTTTTGATCAATTTCATTGCGTGAAAATGCTCGCTCCACGCTTGTCGTTGCTACAAGTAGAATCAATGCCAACTTCAAAAGTAAATACACTAATTAATGGATAAATATTATTTTTTTCGTCTCAACCATTTTCGTTGAAAAACTCTCTATCCCTTTCAAATTAGCAAACCTTTCATCTCCAAGCATGCCCACTAAATAATTCCTAAGTTGATTTCTCAATGCCGAAGCTCAACGACAAAAAACTCACATAGATAAAACTCGACCATCTTCAACAACTTTTCCTTATCAAATGTACTAAAAAAATTAGTCGGGCTTAAGCAATCAACACAAAGAAGTAATTTGGTGTTCACTTCATTAAAACGACTATTAAGCTATGAAGTTGCATATCTATGGCAACATAGAATAAATCAACTTGATAATAATGTAAATTGTCGACTCGCGAAGCCTTACGGCGCTTTCTTTGAGCATATGCATTTTTCATGTTTGGAATTTGAATACCGTGCTTATTGCAAAGGAAGAAACATCATTGAAAAGATCTTTCCATCCATCATCTCTTGTTTGTTGCAATCTTTGCTTGGCAACTTTAACAAGTGAGATAACATTCATAATGTCTTGATCCTTTTTTTGTAATGCCAAATTTAACTAATTTGTAATACCTAAAATAGTCACCATCAAATGCATACAAAAGATAAAATCAAATGACTCCAATAAATGCGAAAGACGACGTGCTTCTACTCTTTGATCTTGACATATGCTATCACTTTCAACGTCTTCAAGCACTTCAATAATTGAATCGAACATAGTCATCATCACATTCAAGAGTGATCCATAGTGAGATCCCCAATGAGTATCACCAGACTTTTTAATGCCCATTTCCCGGTTCAATCTTTAACCACTTTGAAGCTTTTCATTAAGTAATGCTTCAATTATATTTTTTAGTAAACCAAGCGAGGATTAAATCGATGTAATCTACCTCCAAACAAGGGCCTTTTTGAAGGTATGCTCTTCTAATTTCATCTCGATCATTAGGATGATAACTTTCAATTCTTAGTCGTTCTCCCGGATTAACTAGAAAAGAATTTAAATCAACTCTTGTTCGCTCTTCTTCGCCTATAGGCACTCGCTTGTTTTTTAAGATACCTCAACATAACTCACTAACAAAAAAGAAAGAGATAATCAAAAATTAGAATTTTTAAAATAATATGAACAAAGGGTCATTAATTTGTTGAATTTCTTTCACTTTTTTACATCTAATTTGATACATGAATGTCATAAAAGTAATATTAAATCAACTAGATTTACTAGAATACTTAAATATTAAATAGGGATTATAGGTTTGGATCATTTGGTATTATTAACAAAGAGAAATATAATTCTTAATTCTTAAACCTTAAAAAATTCGATAATCTACAATAACAAGAATTAAATCATGGTAATTATTCATAAACAAATAAAATTACCTATTTCAATCAAGAATCTCAAATACATAATTGAATTTAACTAAAAAAATTAAGAAGTATTGAAAACAAACCCAGGTTATGATATCCTCACCAACTTAATAAGAGTTAAAAGAGGTTTTTTTTACCTTTTGATTTGGCAAAAGAGATGGAATAAGGTTGAGGAAGATGAAAGAATGATGGAGAATTGGCCAATTAAGAGAGAACATGAGAAGTTGAATTATTGAGAAAGTGAGAAGTTGAATTGTTGAGAAAGGGACTGAAATGTGGAGGGGTGGTGGGGTTCGGGAGTCGTTAAAAGCTTTTAAAAGCAAGAAGGAATAGAAAATAAGTGTTGTAGTGGTTTAATTAATAGGCTAAATAATGGGTATTTTTTTAGTAATAGGCTTAAGCTAAACAATGGGCATTTTTATGGGTAATGGGCTTAGGCTAAATAATGAGTATTTTTTTTTTTTTTGGATAATAGGCTAATGTGCATTGTTTTTGGGTAATGGACTAAGTAGTAAATGGATTAATAGGTAGTTTTTTTATTTGAATACTATATGGTATTTTTTATTTTTCATGACAAAGTGGGGTCCATGGACCCCACTTTGTTATGAATAAATTTGCCCTTGGACACACTTAATTTTCTAAAGATCTTTTCAATTGCTAGAGACACAAACTACAATGGTGATGCCCTATTTATAACTACACTAAGTCAACTCGTCATAATTTCTAGACAATTCTGGAAAAGTTGGTTAAACTAAAATATCATCTCATGTTTATCCATTTCTTCTTCTTCTTTCTACTCATTTCGGAAACCTTAAGATTATCTCAAAACAAATAAGGCGGTGATAATATCTTCAATTCTTCCTCTTAAGCACTAACTTCATTTAGCTTTGTTGTCATTCCAAGTTATTGAAATTTTTCAAACTTGGATGGACTTAAGCTCTTAGTGAAGATGTTTGCGACTTAGTCTCCGGTCTTGATTGATTGCATCTTGATTTCTCCTTGCAACACTTTATTCTACGTCAATCAAATAGCCGATTGAAAAGGTACTAGATAATTAATCGTTTGGTGCAAATTATCCAACTATAATAGCAAAGTACTTTCTTGCATTACCACTGTCGTCGCTCTATATTTTACATCGGTAGTAAAAAGTAACAATGTCGATTGCATTTTATTGCACCCAAAAATTACTTAAAATTCAAGATGAAATATATAATGTATTATTGATCGACAAGTGTCATGATCTCTCGGTAAAATCTACATCGCACTATCGAATAACTTTAAATTCTTTTCCTTTTCTATACACGAGACCGAAATTGATCATGCTCTTTATATACCTTAATATTCTTCGTACTCGCTTCAAGATGAGGTTTTCTAGGCTTATGCATAGACCAACTTGCTAGTCCAACTACAAATGCAATATTTGATCGAGTAATGGTCAAGTAAATTAAACTACCAACTAACTATTGGTACATAATTACATCTTCTAATTCCTTGCCTTCTTCGGAGCATTACTTGGTGTTGACTTCCATCA